CGTCAGCCTTAACTTTGAGTTGAAGCGAAAGATGCGGGAGGTGTGGGTGCAGATTCGTAAAGGTTGGTACGGGGACAAGGAATGGCCAGGCCAGGAGGGGAGGTGGAAGGCAGCCGATTGTTCGAAGGTGGTTGACCACGCCATTGGAGAGATGAATAAGTGGGTCAAGGACCGTGATGGAGTGCTTTCTGGTACGATAGGCAGCCTCGAAAAGCCGGACGGGTACGATACAGATGATGTGTCGCCCGTGGGTGATGTCGAGGAAGGGGTAGGGGAGCAGATCCAGCAGGAAAGCGCAGAATGGGGTGATGGCAGCGACGAGGTTGAACCATGATGAGATTTTTTTCAGCCTTGTGATCAATTGCTACACCCATGCACTGGGTGTACCATAATCCAACAGCACACATGTGTGATTGCTGTGCGCGGGGGGTTGCGTCCCTGCTTCCAGCTGCTGCAGTTGTTGAAAAAATATATATATAAATATTCAATTGTCGACAAGTCTTACCCCGGATGCAGCTTGCCACACGTCAACTGCATTCATGTTCTATTTTCTTGCGTATTGACCGCCTTCGTCATGGAAGCGTTTTGCGCTACTGTATGCCGACAGGCGCTTAAAAATGTTGAGTTGCAGGCCGAGAAGTGGGGATACCAATGTTGGCCGCATGTTGCTGGGCATTTTTTCCGATTTTGAATCTCTGCTCAGGTACACGACAAGCCGTAACTCAAGCAATTTGATTTTTTTTTTTTAATGTCTTTTTTTCATCGTGACCGTCTTTTCCCTGTCGTCAATTTGCGCTATCGTCTGCTGTGCTGCGCATCGTATTGCGAGAGTTACACTCCGAAACGCATATCTTTTAAATTGCTCCTGTTAACTATGTGCCACCGAAATAGCAGGATGCAGCGCACCCTCCATGCGACTCGCCGAATATCTCACGGCGCTTCGCGCTTGGTGATGTGAGAGCCTGGTCCGGTGAGAACCCGGCGTGCTCCGTACCGGCTTTGTAGGGATGCGAGGTCAATGGTCTAACGACTACGGCATGCACGACTATCAGTACACCCCCCCCGTCCTGCCGCTGCAAAGAAACAAAGCAAAAGTCCGTGGGTTGCAAGCTTTGTAGCATTAGTAGCCAACTGCCGCACAGAATCAAAAGCCGAATCATGACGCAGAATAAACTCGGGGTTAGCAGCGAAGGTACCGCGAAAACACGGGTTCCTTACCGCCCATTCGGTTACAAGTATCGGATCACTGAAATTACAGCATGGGTATCATATATGACACGAACAGACAACAAACTTGAGCTCACACAAAAAATCAATGCAGGGTATCCCTTCCTATTGAACACGATTCTATCGAGAAGGAAATCTGAAAAAATCAGGAGCACGAAAAAGGCACCGCATGAAATAGGCCCGTTGCAGGAGAACCGTTTCAAGAGACCAGACTACTACTCGGATGCGCCCAAAATCCCATCCTACATGGCACAAAATACAAAATACCCTTCCAACGAAACCAAACGTCACCTACCGCCGCACGCGCCCGGATGCCCAGTGCATTCCTTTACTTGGGGTTCCTTCCGACCTAAACCTGCTTACAAAAAGTCCTGTTACCTAACAACAGTGAAACCAGCAACGGCTTCGCTCTCACCTCGCCTTCTACAATTCCCTGCAGCGTTGAATAATGCCGCCCTTCCATGAAACAGGTCCGACTCTACCCAAAATTGTCCAAACAACAACTCCTTCACACCAACAACTCAGTAACCTGTTGCTCAAAAACTGTCCAAAACAAGCCCTTCACACCCCCAACTCAGCTACGACTACCACCCGTCCCATACGGACCCAAAATTCCAGAGCAAACACAGCTTCCCGAAACCCCTTCTACAAACACCAAATGTTGTCAATGCGGCGCGAGTCCCGTGAGAAATTTCAAGTTCGGGATAACTTGCACAGCGGTTGCGGTGACCGCACGGACGGCGTAGATCGCTCAAGGCGAACAAACACCCCGCAAAGCGAATAAAACCCCCTGTGCTGCAACACGCGACATCTCCAGACGCAAGAACAAGCAGTCCACTTACGCAGACAAGAGGATTGCAAGTCCACACACCACGGCTAGGGTGGTTTGCACTGATTCAGCAACAGTGTGACCAACCCCGCTAGAGGCAGTTCCCGCTTCGCCAGCAGCGTCCGACCCAGCCGGCGGGGATGTCACACTGACGTCTTCGGTGGTACCAGCAGTCGGCGCGGAGGTTACAGCAGTAGGTGCGGACATTGCAACAGCAGGGGTGGGGGGAGCCGTGCCCGCGGTACTGTTGGCACCGGCGCACGAAACAAAGCCCGGGCAACCAAAATCTTCATCCGCAACGCATGCCGCGTAATCCTCGAGGAGGGGGTTGGTCACGTCGCAGCCGTTGTCCACAGCAAATGTGCAAACGGAATCGAACAGGACGTTGCAGTCTGTGAAAACTGGGTTAATGGTGTCGCTCGTCTCCATCAGGGCGGTCAGGCAGGAGCTGCAGTCGTCATCCGCAAGACACAAGACCGTCTCCGAGGGACAACTGACGGCACTGTTAGAGTGCCCTTCGCGGAACTGGTTGATGGCGCACCACATGGCTAGCAGAGACGCCGCGCCATGGCGAAGCTTCGTGCGCGTCATATGCATCATGTTACACTTGCCGGGTTCTGACAGCAGCGCAGGGGCAAGGGGGGCAAGGGGTGCGGAGGGTTCAGCAGGAGGTAGAGGGGACATTGCGTTCTTACCGCTTTGGAATCGTGTTTTGTTCAGAATACATTAAATGGGCATTCCCTCATCTAAATAAGACACGTGGTTCCGCTTCTCGTCAAGTTACCCAACGTGGGTGATCGGCGCCCATCGTCACAACGCTGCCAACGTGTGTTCTCCCGACACGCCATCGTGAAACTGGTCAATTCTTGCCACATGTGTTATGTGTGCAAAACTGTTTAATGCTTGGTGACATGTGCACCAGCCTCGTATCTCGCTAGACTGCTTTAAACCTTGTGTGACCAAGCATTTCATGCTGCTCCTCCGCACACCATCCTCGCAAAAGTTCACATGCTGCTATCTAGGATCAACCATGCTGGGCCAAAAGCCTCCTCGTTAAGACTATGCCTCGCATGTCAGCACGTCCCCAATGGGATTCTTGTTGCTAGAGCGAGAATAGTACCAGTAAGGGTACTGAGCCGGGGGTGCGACTCAACACCGTACAATAGTATATTTGCGATGCTGGGGCGAAGTGCGAGACACGCTTCTTCCAGGCAGCTATGCAGCAACCCAAACGCACAATTCATTCTTTGCCGATTGTATATTCGGATCCGCTACCGCTGGAAGTTTGAAATACTTTACTGCACATCAACGGCGTGGGAACACACACACATGCTCGCACAGATGCCCGCCTACTGCAAAAGCAGTACCGCCAAACGATTGGCACCAAACAGCACTGCCGCCGACAACAATGAGCAGTGGTAGCTGCCACGAATGCACTAGAGCTGTTGCTGCTGCTTTTGTGACGGCAATGACTCCCATCTATATTATTTCACCCAACATGTATGTTGGAGATTTTCTAACGACAAGAATAGCGCATCGTCCATGCTCCTTGTTGTGCAGTCAGAGAGCCGCGCCATGCAGGTGTTGATGTAGCCAAAGAGGGGGCGACAGTATTACTTATTGTGCTCCTCTGTGTCCACATACGGAGGGGAGTAGCCACAGCGAGTGTGCGTGTGGTTCTACGGGTGTGCGAGACATAGTTGCGTGTTACCTCTGTGTCACCTACGAGCAAACTGGCTTCGTACGTGGATCGATCTCCGATAGATTGTGTTCCGCCTCATGCGCAAGTCCAGGGATTGGGGTGTGGTATCTCCTACAACTTTTCTGCACAACAGCCTGTGTAGCACGGCCATCTGTTGTCGGAGCACGACCAAACCGGCATGACGAAGAGTGGCCTGTTTTTCTTCCTACTCAGATGAAACAGATCGTCAATCGGTGCCCTGTAGATCTTGGTTCATGGCTTCCCGGTAATCAACTTTGGAGGACCTGCATCGTGTTTGAACCGGCCGAAAATAGAGCCTTTTTCCCCCTCCTAGGATCAAGGGGAAAAAAGGTCGCGCGCCCCGCGGCTCATTCTTAGTGTCTTTTCATGGGATCGGGCTGTGATACTGTAACACGAGCGGTGTTCGCAAAGAGAAAACATGGAGGCAATTGAACAACGCGTTGTCTACCATCAGGGGGTTAACACTCGAGGTTCGGAAACAGCGAACTGGTTGTGCTATGGGTCTCAGGTCCTCTGGCCTGCTGTATACGCACCGCCATTGGTCCCATGCCACAGTATAACGACTGCCGTGTAAGCCGCATGCGCGATCATATTCCGGCCACGATGCGTACTGTACTTCATTCAATTTGTCTTTTCTCTCCTCGCGTTTCTGCATTCCACCCACGCGGAAGTTTTACAGCAGGTGCAGGTGCGACCGATCCTTCCAACGAACTTTTCGCTGCTCTGGGGTCAAGCCCAACACCGCACTACTGCGGTCGCCGCTTTTTCCGTTGCTCGCTGACACTGGCTAGCCGCTAATGACTTCATTTCTTTGCTTACTGACACGGGCGTATTTTCAAACGTCAGCTACGAGACAACTAACCCCATTCCAAGTCGTATTTCAAGTACAAAAACGTCTTTGTGAGGGGCAAACGGCACAGCTCTCTCGGCGGAAAAAACGAAGAACGGCGCCCAGCCCCAAGCCCCTCGGTAAACAATTCCTACAGCAGCGGATCGTAGTCGTAGTCGCAACACCAACAAATAACGCATCGATCGGTCTAATCCACAAACAAGTCAAACAAGCGAGTTTTTAGCCACCGCATGCGGTGACCCCGGCTGGAGCGCCCAAGAATTGTAGCGAAATGTGTAAAAATGACCGGCGTCCAGAATAATCGTTTCACAAGGCGGGCACCATACAATCAATTCTCCTCTAACAGAAGCAGGGAGAGAAACCGGAATCCTTCTTTCATTTGGCCGACCACAACCATAATAACCACAACACACATACCGCTGTGAACCTTCTCGGGACACAGCTAGTTGCTGCCACCGAGGTTGAGTGGTGTTCCCAATACATATGAAATCAGCTGTGTGGAATATCAACTTTGTCGACTCGAGACGGATGTTCGTAGACCTTGTTTCGGGGAGGAAAAGTTGCCAAACAAGACTCGGAGCTGCCGTTCACCGCAACTCAAGAACCAACCCTTCAAGAGCACTCTCGAGGGTGCCATGCACGACGAGCTATGCCTACTTTAACTGATGCTGGTTGTACCTTGCATATGTGTGCAGATTTTGTGCGGTCGTCAATGGCTTACATCAACGCCGCTCCTCGGCCTCTGTTGGATGTCTGTATGCAAATCCTTAGATTCTTCTTCTGTCTCTGGTGTTTGTGTTCCCTAAGAACGTTCTGTACGGCAGCTTGTGGTCCAGTCTGACTTGTTGCATTGGTACAATTTCACAATGCAACGGCGTGAACAGAGAAGTGGTAATCCCGAGATGTGACGCCTGTTCCTTGTTGGCGTTTTTGTTGTTGTTGTGGGGGATGGGTCGGCAAAACTTTGATGCACCAATGGGTACGAAAATAAGCCATGCACCCATGCCCTCGACAGACCGGAAACATTGCCTGCAGGCAAACGAAGGGCAAAATGTTCCGACACTCGAACCCCTGACCTACGCGACTATGTGCGGTGAATCAAGTCCCTTCAAACGGCGACCAGCTGATTATCAACCAAAGCGATTCTAGTACTTCTCAACACTAGATGCTCTGCTTTGGTAGGGGCACGAAACCGGCTTAAACCCTACCGCCAACCCGAACCCTAACTCAAAACCCACCCGATAGGTACTAGGTCGGCGCTAGGTTGAGTTGGTGTTGACGGGGAAAACTCTAGGTTGTTACTGCTTGGATAGCTCGATAGATTGGCGTTGATGGGATAAATCTATTATGATAATGCCTGGATAGGTGCTAGGTTGGTCCCGACGTTGCTAGGTGCTACGTTGGTGGGCCTTGGAGTAGGGCTAAGTCGCTCTTGGATGGTAAACGGTGTCCGTGCAGGTGTGAACAGATGCGACTTGCCAAGTTGTGGGTGGATAGCTTACGTGCGTACCCATGGGTGCATCGAATATTTTGCTTGTTGTGGCAGGCACGTGTTAGGTCCCGCACCCTGATGTTATTTAGAGAACTTGTGATCAAGAACCCCTTTAGCTCATCGGAGGCTCTTCACTTCAATAGTTCGCAACAGACAGCCCGCACGTCCAAAAGAGAAAAAAAGAACGCGCGAGGGATGAAGTAGAGCTCACTTCTGTACAAGTCTTCACGAAGGGGAAAAATAGCTGGACACGCGAGGTGCCGGGGGCAGGGCAGTAGAGAAAGGTTGCGATTTCGCGGGAAAACCAGGGCTAGCATCATGGTTATGTGGGGTTTTCTTTTGAGACATCTTTGCACCTCTTTGTATTAGAAGATATACATACATACAACAAGGACGACCGACGGCGACGACCGACGGAGACGGCGGCGCGATCGACGATGACGGCCCAAGGCCGTCCGATCGACCGACCTACCGACCGACCCAACCTAAGCCTACCAGACCCTATACCCGACCCTCTACCCTACCCAACCCAACCCAATGGCAACGAACGACAAAGCGACGGCGGCGCGATCGACGGCGGCAACCTAACCCCAACCCAACCTTACCCGCACCCAAAGTCATCCCGGCCAACGCAACTCGTTCAACCCCAACTCGACCCCAACCCAACACAACAGTCGGGTGAAGCCGAAACCAACAACACCAGAGCAAATACAAAGCGAAAACCCGCCTGATCTCAAGTTGACCACTGCAACATGCACAGGCGACACTCGTGACTTGTAACTCCCCCGCCCCAACAAGCCCTCTCAAAGAAAGACGCACACCCCAACGCGCGAAAACACTCTCGCCACAAATGTTGTCGAGGCACACTGAGCAGAGGCGACAAAGTCTGAAACATGGCTGGTTTCTTTTATACTTGAATTTACACATCCCTCAAGTACCACCGTTCGAGTTGTGAGATGAACCAGCAATAACCTTGCAAGAGTTAGAGAGGTGCTTGCAGAGTTCTGTGTTCGCACTACAGTACCCGTCTACCTGCGGTGCACACGTGCACACGTGCACACCCACCTCTGGGTGTATTCTACCTGCAGTCCTCGTTTGATCAGAAGACTGCTTCTGTGGTTGGCATCTGTCAAATACTTCTACTTCTTCAGTCTTGAGCCCGTTCAAGTTTTTCACGTAAAAAAACAAGCGGCAAAGTGGGAGTCTATCGTCTACTGCTGAGAGGGCATGCCTTATGGTACTGCCCAGAGTAAAGCCGTGTGTGGGTGCGCGAAGCTACCGCAGGAGTGAAAGTGTGTGCTGGGCGCGGTTCGCGCGATTTGAGGTTGCGGCGCTGTGGTCCTTCTCGCAAACACACGCATGACCTACGTACATACACGATGGGGACATCAACACAGTGCCCGGAGTTGCCCACCTACCGTCAATGCTATCTTGGTCAGCCCTGCGTAGGAAACTAACTCTACGTTGTAGCGGCTTCCCTCGGAGTAAAAATTTACAGCAGTTGGCAGCAGTTGGACAAAAGGAGACGGACGGAAGAGCTTCTCACCTCTGCCTCGGGACACACGTACATACACACCCTTCTCCGACATCGGAAGAAATTAGGTCCATCTTTGAGTAAAGTGTGCAACAAACGCGAGAGAACAATTAACATCAACCTCAGATCTCTCACCGACGTGGGGCTTGGCAGGCGGCGGGTCAATCCTCCCTTTCGTGATGTCCTCTGCACGTGTGCGGATGTCGGTGTGTCTGGTGTATCTGCACTTCTAGTTCGTATCACGGCTGGAACTTTTTTTTTAACTGCGGACCAACTGGGTATGGTTCGGGATTTCTCGCCGTACCCCCCACCGAATCCACAGATGCACAGCATCCCAGCATCCAGCATCCAGCATCCAGCACCCAGTCCCCCGGCGCCGACGCGATGAATACGATGCGCGATAATCGCACATCATATGCACTGCAGTAGTCTACACTATTGCTGTACACCCAATTAGTCTCTGCTTTATCTTCCTCCCCGGCTCTGCGCGGAATGTCCGTTGTACAAGGAGAGGGAAGTGTGCGTGACTGAGGCGGGAAAAATAGAAGGGACGTATAGGGAGATGTTTGAGGCATGGAATCGAGAGGAAAGGACGGTAGCGGTACTGGGGCATAGGAGGTGTGTTGAAAAGGCGGGAAGAGATATCGTTAGGATAGACAGACTAGGGCAGACATTTGTGAGCCACCTTTGGCAAAGTAGGAAGGAATAATTGGCCATGGGTGATCGGTCCTGTGGGAACAATGCTCCGTCCTCTCGAGGACGCGTGGTCAATGGTCTAACCGCTAAGGAACGCGAAACATGAGAGTATACCCCCCCTCCGCGTGTACAACTAAGCTTTTTTTGTTCGGGCTAAAAGTTTTTAACTGCAAAGTTCTGAAGCGGTGGCGGGTTCTGTAGTGCATGTTTCAGATTCAATCGAAAGCGTGTTCTCCCGTTGATAATACTACAACTTTAGACGGCTCCGTAGCTCACAGTTCATTTACGTGGTTGTCTAAAGGTGTTTTGGCTTATTTCCCCCGAGCTGAAGAAGTTGTCTTGACGAATCAATCGCGACATGGTTGTACTGGTGCTGTAGTCAGTAGTCCGATCCACAAATACTACACAAAAAAGGGGGGGGTGGAGTCAAGAAGAAGAGCAATGACAACGATTGGAGAGTCGTGAGCGCCTCTACGGCACGTGGGGGCAACTTCGTGAAAACGAACACAACGTGATGGCCGAGATCCGGTGGTTTGTGGTCATCCATACATACACAGCATGCATCGAAGGAAGACCCTTCCTCCAGGGCGTAAATACGGGGCACGGCGATGGTAGAAAGGAATGACGAGAAAAACGAACAACACATCGCTGAAAACAGAGGACATGGCCACGAAAACACCAAGAGAGCAAAGTCTTCACTAAACTCAGGAGAGGAGAGCTGAGGACAACTCGTGTACGTCACAACGTAGTCTATGCCTATCGTTAAGGGGTGGGGCTGTTGGCATGAACAGGGTGTACCTCATTGAGGATAGGGTGTGGGATGGTCAGGAGGTGTACCTGCATGGTGCCCATACCACATCAGAATTGTTTGCTTTGCGTGCCCCCCAAGATGGAGTTGGACACTTGATCTCAGACCTTCTCTCAGCAATACAATGTAACTTTCCCATTTCTACACGTTCGTGGAGCAAGGGCGTCTAGCGAGAATTACCTTTTTCTTGTAGGAAGCTACGATCTACGGCTTGTGCTCCTTCATACTATGCCAGAAAAACAATACAGTCAGCGGAAAGAGGGCTGAGTAACGAGAGCCGCTTGGGGCACTGGTGGATGTCCACCATCGACGACACGGTATCCTCGTCACCGAAAGGGTGCAAAGCTGTCGAGTGAAACATTGCATTTGAAGCACGGGGTGGTGTTACATAGTGTCCCCCCGCTCCGGAAGGCTTGCTCCCTGTAACAGAATACCCAGAGCAAAGAACTTCTTCTCCGTCTACATCGCTCGTGCGTTCTGTCAGCTTTGCGGGACAGCAGGTAAGGCACAATGGTCGCCTCGCGTGCTACCCTCAACAGTTTTTTCAACTGCTCCATCCCGAGCATCCTCGGTCGCCACTAGGGGGAGGGATGACCGCGCCAACCAAGCGTTATGACGAGCTTTCGGTGAGCACGACAAGGACACGCGACTCTAAAAACAATAAAATGGGCTGAAAAATCACGGGACACCTCCAACCGGCTCGTCAAGTTAGTTGGTAGGCAAGAAAGCTGTTCGTCGCAGCTCGCAAACTTCGTTTTGTTTCGGCAAGGTGGTGGAAGTGGGAACTCCTGGAAACGAGTTTACTATTTTGATCACGTTAGTTGCACGGAGGGGGGGAGGGGGGGGGGGGGG